CCGCTGTTCGTGGCAAAGAGGCGAGCTGTCCTTGGTGATGCTGTAGCAAAACGAAGTGCTGGGGTATAAACAAAGTGGTGGCTGGATTATGCACAGGCAGCTGCCCCGGCCTTGGGTGGGGGCTCAGTCCTGCTGCCTGTCACTGGAGTGTGTCCCAGAATTTGAAGTACTTGCTCACATCTTGCATTGTAAATAGTGTGGCTTTTCTGGGGGCGGGAGTTGTTGTGGGGTTTTTTCTTGTAATAAACAGCTCTAGCTCTGCATCTCTTGAGTTTTTTCAATTTAGTACTGACAGTTTTGACTGTTTTTCAAAGCCAAAGAGGAACCTTCTTCCACCTTTCTTCCTTGCCTCAAAAAAGTAACATCCAATTTCTTCCCCTCTTTGTGGAAAAATTATAAGCCATTATTGCTGCCTTTTGGGTGGATTAATTTTTGTGACTATCATATATAATAAACATCTGCAGAAAACTGCTCAAATCTAGGACAGCAAATCTATATGTCAATCCAGAACAGCTTGGAAAGGCAGCACCCAGGTCCTTCTCCCCATCCACACCTTTTTCTTCCTCCCCAAGACCAGGGTTGTGACCATCTCTTGAAGATGAGAATATTTAAATTTGTATTCCCATCTGGCTGGGAGAACTAAGTGAGAAAGCAGCTTTCTGCTACCATTTCCTGAAAGTTAGTGCTGGGGCTTGTTTGCATCCAGCACTACAGATCTGCTGTTCAAATGCTAGAGAAACTCTGCAGGTTCCTACATTGTAAGGTACTTCACTGGTAAGATAATTCCTTCCTCAATGTTTAAGTGTGTAAAAAGCAGGATGCAAGAAGTGGATGGCATCTTCCTTTGAACTCTTATAGGTGTGAGCTACTGGATAAATTCACTTTGTTTTAGCATCTTTCATTTCCCCGGCCTCTGCTCAGGATGGCAGCAATGTAAGTTGCCACCTGAGCAACCTCAGTGAAGTTGACCCTGCCTGCTGTGGTTCTGCCTGTCTGAAATACATTTATATCTGTATTTGATGTTTCAGTCCCATTTTGCCATGTTGCTTGGTTGCGCGATGCAGCGAGGGGATGAATGCATGTTTCTCACTGCAGCTGGTGATGGCAGTACCACAGATCCTGCACATGTGGTTGATTAGGCACATCAGCTGACATGCAAACAAGAGACATAACTTACTTATGCACAAAGATCATACCCTGCTTTTCGCCCCTCTGACTGGATTTGCAAAACACCTGCAGCAAAGGCTTCATAGAGGGGCTGTGTACCTCTTACTAGGCCTATAGTGCAGAAAACCCAGCAGCCTACCCAGGCAGTGTGGTAGTTCCCAGCACTTCCTTGTGTTGAAAGCCTCAGGATGAAGATGTATCTGAAAAGGGTGTTAGGTGGCTGGGTGAGTTCTTCCACCAGGTCAATGAGCTCATCCAGATTCTGCAGAGCCCTCCTGCTGACATGATGGATGGGGTAGGTGAAGGAATGACCATCCTTTCCAGTACACTGTCTGAAGTCCATTGTGGAGTTTCAGGTATTTCTGCACATGCCTTTGGGGAGCGCTCAATGTGTCCAGTCTGAAAACGTCAGTGACCAACTGGTGAGGGGATGCCATTATCACCTGAACTGCAGTTAGGTATTAGAAATGCCAGAGAGATGCTCAAATTCTTTTGAGGATCAGAGTCTCTGTGCATAATGTAATTATCTGAATGTCTGAAGTACAGCTTCTTTTCTCCTCTTTTAATAAAAGTGGGAATTTAAATGCAAAACTTCTGTTAAGGCACATTAAGCTTTAAGATTTGAATACAACAATCAGTGCATTCAGGCTCTGCTTTCCACAGCTTTTCTCACTTAGCCAGATGACATATGCATGCTGTGTTTTAGAACTGAGCTCTGCCCTCATTTACACCAGGAACCCTCATTAAATTTGGCTAAATTCATTGAATTTAACAGGATTGCCTGGTGTAATTAATGTTTTGAGGACAAAGTTTGTCCTCAGCTTTAATGTTTTAACATCATATAGAGCATTCAGATGTGTAACAGGCAGAATTTAGGGAAGTCAAACACTTGTATGTACGTCACATCCAAACCATAAAGTGACATTGAATCTTGCCTGCATTTCATAAACAGTTAACAATTTGCATACATCCAGCAGTGATAATATGCCTTTGCATTTAAATTTTAATTATTCTGCAAGTCTACCAGGATGTCACTTGTTTAATGGCTCGCTGAGCTTAGAGGTCACCCAGTCCAAGTCTCCTCTAATGGCATTTTTATCTGAGTAAAAGCTTCTACTAATAAGAACACAGCAAACATGCTGAAGTAAGACCTATGTAAATGAACTCCTACATGAATTGGAATGTAGAGGAATTTGGAGAACAGGGGATTTTGTTTTCAGAGTGTTTCTTTTATAATGGTTATTTGACTCTGACTAGGACAATAAATTTTTATTCTCTGCCGATCAGAATACAGACTGTCATTTACATGTGCAGTATCAGGCACAATGGAACCAAAAAGGAAGCTTTTTACTTCAGTTGTAAAGGGGCCTTCAGTATGCTGGATATGATGGATCATGCTACTTTCACTTAGCATTGGAACAGACAAATGACACTTCTTGAAAGCGTAGGCAACAGTACAATACAACATGACACTTTAGCTAAATGTGTGTGAATCTCTTTTGTATTATTTTACATATTACTATAAAAAAAAAACTTTAATGGAAATTAGAGATAGCTTGGGTTGGAAAGGACCTTTGAAGCTTATTTAGTTCAATCCTCTCCAAGAGCACAGACACTTTCCACTGGGAACAAGTTGCTTACAACCCATCCAGCCTTTGTCTTGAATGCATCCAAGGATGGGGAGTCTCTCTGGGCAAACTATTCCAGTGCCACACCAAGAAGAATAATAGTTTCCTTATGTCCAAGCTAAACCTACCCTCTTCAAGTTTAAAACTGTTGCCCCTAGTCCTATCACTGCATGTCCTGGTAAACTGTTCAGTGCCCTCACGATCTTTGAGAACAATTGTCACATACCAGTTCTTTTTATCTCCAAAAAATGCTCAAGAAAAGGGACCTATATGACCTATAGAAAATATACTACTAGAATAAAAAATGAGTACAGGGAATAACATACCTGATCAGATTAACAGCTGTAACAAAATGAAAACAACAGGGATTTCAACTCAATGTTATCAATGTAAACTGAGAGTATGTCTCATTATTGTTATACCTTATCTAAAATCCTAGCAGTAATTAAAACAAATGTAAGACCTCATAAAGAATAATGCCAATATACCTGCTTTTCATTTACTATTTTAATACTCACTAAAGTTATGTAAATGGTATTTAAGCCCAGCTGAAGCAGGTGGTGCTGAATATTTAATTTTTGAATTTAGTAGTGGTACCTTAGGACAAGTCTACTCAGGTGCTGCACAAGTTTAATTCAGATCCAGCTGTTGAACCTAGAGGCCAAGTCAGAAACAGAAATACCAACTGCTTTAATTATTTTTTCAGTTGATTGGAACACAACTAGCTGTTGTTTCATTGTAGAAGTATGGCCTGTCAAACAGAAATATACTGTAAAAATGGAGCAAATTCTGTTTCTGTGTAAACTGTAGGCTTATGTCTTTTCAAGTGACCAGCATCCTTATGTCTCTGAATGTCTAGACTGTGGAAGTTTTCAAGAAACTTGATTTTTGAGTACAACTGTTTGGCCCCTGTACAGTATCTCCAGATGGGCGAGCATAAAAATGAGTTAGTGGTTACTTAAAAATACAGGTGGGGGTATTTAAATGAAGTGAGAATTAACTGATGGATATGGTATTAAAAAATGCAACACACAGAATTGTCCCATGGCAGTGATTTATGACAAAAATCTAGTCCAATTGCTAAGCATTAAATCTCAAAACAGTAAAACCCCCCTATGAACAGATGCATATATTATGTTCATGTATGAGAGGGAGTATCTGCACTGAATCTTTACGATACAGATGCAGGGAGAAATGTGGGCAGAGAAGTGAAATACACTGGTATCACAGTAGTATCGTGATTCCAAAAATACGTGTTCTGAGGGATGCCAAAATCAGTGTATGCTGATACTGCTGCATCACAAACTTAACTTCCTTGTGTCCTGAACCCCACTTGCTTCCACTCTGTGTGGCCTAACCCTTAAGACACCTCTGCCTCAGGCTCTGCATCATTTTCCCTGGGAAATATTTTGTGCTCAGTGTTTTTGCTTGATAATGGAAAAGGCAAGGAACTGAGCTGAAATCCACTGTTTCCACTCCAACTGTCAGTGCTCACTTCTCTACCCAGCAGAATGCCAGAGTGGAGCAGCTTTGCAGAATCCATGTGATTTAATCTGAAAGATTTAACAGTAATTCAAAACCAAGGAAGCAAAGAGAGACCATTTAGTATAGTCCCTCATACTGTGGGAAACTGATACTGTGCAGGACTGTATGACTCCCTCACATGCTCAATGTCCCTGTGCTACTGGAACCTGGACCAGATAGCCTCCAGCAATTCCTCCAAATCTCAGCCATGCTGTGACTCTGAATGGTGCTTATCAAGCAGCCTCCTCTGACAGCCACAGACACACAAAGGTGTAATATTCAGGAGTCTGATGGCGACAAAATGAAGCACAAAGAGTAGAAGCAAATGAAGAGAGGTGCATTCAGAATTTCCTTTCTGTAATACACACACTGATACTCAGGCAATAACTCCTAGCTGATGAAATAAGGTCATGTGGCTTGCTCACTGACTACTGAAAATCAAGACAATAAAAGGTTAAATTCAGTTTTTCTCATAAAAGAATATGAGTAGTTGATTGTATAAAAATATATATATATATATACACACACACACACATATAAAAATATATAATAGTGCACCGTAATGAGGAGTAACTGGATGGTAACAGACCTGTAGGGATGAAGCTGGCTTTAAGCACAGTCTTTGCAATGACAGGCCTGTTAGAGATGACAGGTTCTGTAGTAATGCCACTAAATAGTCGCAATTGAATAGATTTTATTTCACATTTACACATTAGCGAGAGTATATACAATTAAAAAAAAACATCCTTGCTGAAAAAAAATCAGTTGGAAATTATCTATCCTAACTTGAGACACTGAGTATTAAAGCTATCACCCTCTTTGATAGCTACAGCCTCTAGAAGTGCCTGCTTCTTCTGCATACTGCGAGATGACTCCAGTTCATACATAGTGGTCAGGTTGAAGAGGACACTCTCATGTAGGTAGTGTTGAGGGTCCTGCTGAACCATTCCTTCCAACTGCCGCAGGGAATCCTTCAGTTTCCCCAGGTAAAGAAGACAAACAGCAGCATTGTTGTTAGCCTAGTGAAAAACATATTGTAAATAAATAATGTGTTTATAAATATATATATATATATATGTATTTACAAATGATGAGAGAGAAAGGAAAGAAGTCTAGCATCTGCAGTTACAACATACTTACTGTATGCTAAGAATTACTATTCTGCATATGTGTGCAAAATTAAAATACATTATCAGTTATACAATGCTATACTTTTCTTATAATTCTCAAGATTTACCCTCTGCCAGTAGGACCTGCTGACTTCTAAGAGCTGAAACTCTAAAAGACAGAGTCTAAAATGAAATAGAAATAGTATATATATAATATAGTATAATTAGTCAGTTAATTCTGAAAGCCAAGTGAAACAAATTTCAGAAACCACATGAGCTTCTACATGCAGTCATTTTCACAGATTTTTTTTAAAATTACTTCACTATATTTTCAGAAGTGTTTTTCTATCTCTGGCTTACATGTCCACATAAGCAACAGGAAGATACTTTCTTATCACAAAGGCATCTACAACTGACTTCACGTAAATCTAGCAGATAGGGCAGTCTAAATACATCATAAATGATCAAGTCAGGTTCCATTTTCCTTACCACACAAAACTGATTTTATGAGTTACTGAAAGATTCTAACAGTACAAAGTGATATAGCACGTTTAGCAGCAGAAACTTTAATATATTCTGAAAGCTGCAGATAAAGGAAGAACATGGCCTTTTAGAATAACATATTTTTCTGTCCATTCAGGAAACCTTACTGAACTTGTGTGATTTATAATACACACTATTTTACGGCTTGCAAAATAATGCAATTCATGTATTCCTTAAAGTCAGTCCCTTCAGTCTGTAAATGGCCTTGGAACAGATTACTGGGAGTAAGCTGTCTGACTTCTCAGGAACACTCTTACATGACCTGCACTGAAAACTTCCAGGTGTAGGAAACCCAAAGGTAAATAAACAGCTCTTTGATCTCAGCTTGTGACAGGAACTCAAGGCTCTTACATGCAATGTGTTAAAAATGTCATGTTTAAAATTACAATATCCTTTCAATGTTGTGTGAAATCAAGTTAATTTTATACACATTGGCAGCTGCCGTTTCTTTTTCTGACATGCAAGTCTATGCTAAAAACAGTGAATGCAAAAAAAAGTGCTTTCACAAAGATCCCATAAAAGAAGAGTGTCTCAGAATTTCTACATGCATGCCTAAGTATTCACACCCTTCATACAGACTGGTTCTTAATTTCCCATCCCATTTTCTATTTTATCCTTATGTATACTGTAAACCTTTTGGCACACATGCCACATCCCATTTTTCTGTAAAGCTCTGAGCATATTCTGGGTATTAATTAAATCCATGCATGAAGTATTATGAGAATAATTTAGGTGTTCATTATATATGTAGCAATTTGAAGATTTACCACAGCATTTGATGAGTCGATCCTTAAAATTTCTGTGAAAAATCGATGAGCTTCTGCAAAATTATTCTGACCAAGGTAGAGAAATGCTCTAGAAAGTAAGTGACAAATAAATGAGTTCTCAAAAACCCAAGGTAATAATACATTTAAAAAATAATGGACACCATTTTTTATTTTTCCTGTTACAGATGTGAGAGTTTCTGACATTTGTTCTCCATAGTGTGAAAGAGACGCTGATGTACAGACAAATGGAATGACAACTTGGATCACTCAGCTATTGTATTTTTTGCCTATGAAAGCAACAGTCTTCATTGTGTTTTTATTAATTTAAATGCAGATATTCTCTTCCCAGAATTATTTCTCTTCTTGAAATCAGCCATATAATTTTCAGACCACTTTTGAATAGTATCTTCTAAATATATTAAGCCAATGTTAACCATTGCAAAGTAAGTCCCCCATCACACAGCTCAATTTACTAGTGTATTCAAGCATCCTTTGAAGCTACTGGGTGGTAATCTCCTGGCAGATCTGATTGTAGGATAACTGCCCAAAATAACTTTTCCTCTCCTAAGTTATTTATGCAAATGTATATTGAAAAAACACAGTGAAAGTATGCAGTGCCTGAAAGAATGAGAAAAAACTTTGTAAAATCAACTGAAAGATCACAGTTTCAATGCAGGATAATACGACTGTACCCAGTTACAGAGATCTCCTGAGTCTGTATGCCAGTCAGTCTCACTTATGACAGATGATGTTCCATAAAAAAGAGAAAGAGAACAGGGTTGTCTCAAGGGTAGTTTAATGATCACCTTTCATACTGTTAGAAGTACATTTTAAGAAGTTTTATTTAGCTATTAAAACATCTACCTGTTCATTAAAACCATAATTTGGCTCTGTAGTCCATCCAATTTGTGAGTCACTTTCTCAACATCTTGAAAGTATTTTTCTGCAGTTTTTATGTCTCCAATCTAGACAGAAAAATCATAAGTAAGTTACCGTAATAAGAAGAGCTACATCCTGATTATACCTTATTAGGACACAAAAACATATATAATGTATCAAAGTCCATTATCAATCTCTTTACACCAAGGTGACTGGGTAACACCTGTTACCAAATAATGCATTTGAAGAGCCATGTTAAGGTCATGAAGAGCACCCCAAAAGCATGCCAAGTTTGCCCAAAGCAGTTTCTCAGCTGGGGGCTGTGGAGCACTCATAGACTGTAGGGCAAGGAGGCCCCATATCCTCATTTAGTCCCTTTGTTGTAACTAACTCCACAGTTCAAAATAGTAGCTGAAAATGAGAAAAGGTCAGAGTTACTTCCAGTGAGACTGGGCATTAGTCCACAGGAAGAGAGAGACACCAGTGACCTCATATGTAGCACAGGACCCACACCTGGTTAACCCACAGCCTCTGGGTCGCAGCCAGGGGCCACAGGATGATTTCAGTGCATCACACCATGTGTCAGAAAACAACTTGAGTACCATGGGCCACTGAGAATATTGGGAAGATGGTCCAATTGCAGATTAAAAAAACACCAAAGAGTGACTGGAGAAGGATGAAGGAATGAGACATTTGAAAACTGGCATAAAGAAATACAGATTTGATGGGGGCTGGAATGGGGAAGGGGGTTTCTAAAAAAAGGTGTATCACATACATTGATCTTTGAGATGAAAAAATACTTGAAGAAGGCCACTTATTTGGAAAATAAGTTAGCAGCATATTTTTTGGGCTGGAGAGATGGAAGAAGATGAAAACTTATGACTGGGTAAAATAAATCTAACAGAACCTCTCAAAAGGAGTAAAATTAAACTAGTTCAGAAGCATAAAGCCTTGGAAACCAGGCAGTCCTCAGGTGGGGACATTCAAGGGGGCCCTCAAGAGACCACCCATTTATTTAAAAACACTGTGAAAAATGTTTGTGACAAAAGTGTTGAAGTCTTCTTAAAGCTCTCAAATGGTGGATATTACACACCTGAATCTTACTAGGAAACTTAGTCCAGAATTCTTAAATTGCCCTAGCATTAGAAAACACTTTCTATCTTATTGCACTTTTAACCTCAGCTTTTTGTCCTGTCCATAGTAGTAGGGAAGAATGTAAAACTCTTTTTTTACAGTCTTTTGCATACTTGAAAATTTTTTCTTTCCCATCTAGAATGAGAATCAATTTTCAGGCAAAGCAGTGTTTACCCCTTTCTCATAGAATATGAGATCATGCTTTCTGGATTCTCTGAACTCTCTCCTGTTAATTCACATCCTCCCTGAGAGCCCACATAAGAAGTCTCCACAATCCAACTGATCTCTTACCAGCAGTGAGAAGCAGGAATCACTTCATGTTTCACACATGAATATGAATTTTGCTTTTATACCAAGTATCTGGAAGTCCAATTTGTTTACCCTTATGTAGTTTTCTTACTCTCCTTTTTCCTTTCTAAAGGAAATAGGCTTGTTGTTGCTTCTCATTATGTATTTGTGTTACTCCCAGTCCTTGGTAGCATTCTGCCTTTGCTGTTTGAATCACAGCCAATTTAACATTTCAGATTCTCAACTTGTCAAGATTATTTTGCATTCTGATACTGCCCTTCATAGTATCTGTACCACTCCCAGCTTGGCATCATCTGTACATTTTACAAGCATGCTTCACATTTCATCATACAGTACTACCTAACCAAAAAATACAAACACTACAAACCCTAAAGAGATCATTGTGGAAAAGATCATCTAACAAGTCCTTCTAGTCATCAGCAAATGACTTTGCAACTGCACTTTTCAGAGACAGCAAACATCCATCCATCTGAAAGCTACATCTACATTTCTTCCCAATTTGCTTATGGGAATATCACAGTGGCAGCCAAAGCTGTGGCCAAAGCTGAAGCCCTACTAACACCACTGATGTAAGAGATTCTGCTTTACCTCTAACCACAAGACTCATCCCTTGTCAACATAAGGAAATTATTCTTCTTTACGTTTAGATAATCCAATTGAACACTGCAGTTACAGATGCAACTGTCCATCTACCAAGCATTTCTGGAATACCCATTAATAGTCTTTTTTAAAGAAACAGATGCATTTCTCCCAGATGTAATGTAACTGGACTCAAAACAAAATAAATATTATTCATTCTAAAATACCATACATTCAGTTATATTGGCAAAGGATACACTTTCTCTCTATAAATCCCACTAAAAATGTAAATCACCAAGAAAATAATTACACTTAACTAGAGGATAATGCTGGTGAAGTGCAAATGAATCTGTCCTTGAGTAGTTTTAGCCTGGGAATCCCTTAAGCATGAGAACAATCAATTTCTAAAACAAGCTACCAGTTTGCTCTCCTGGGCACCTGATGAGTCCAAATCTAGTATGCTTTGATACTAATCACACATTATTTGTGATCATGAATAGTTCTGATTTCTTAGCAGATCTCAGCAAACATGCTGAACCCTTAAATCTCATTTTTCCCACAGAGGGAAAACAGTTTACTTTTTAAATTTTTTGGTAGGGAAGATCATTTAAAAGAAGTAACTAATTTTAATTAGTCATTAAAGTAATTTAACCAATTTAAGTGGTCTTTATCACTTATTCATCATTTTATCACTTATTTAACTTAGTTCAGAAAGTATAACCAGTATCTAATAATAATTAGCACATCAAATAAAAATTAAGATTCTGCTGTTAACCTCAAATAATCATACTCTCTAATGAGGAGCCTTCAATATACTATGTGCTTAACTTTGTTGTTTGTCTGGAAACAAAGATTATTTTTTTCCCTAAAAATTTTTTATTGCTTTTGACTCAGTTTTGCAACACTTTATTGCAGTGGGTAAGGTCAGGCAGCTTTTAAAATTTCTTCTTAACTTACTTATTCAAATGGAAATTTTGGGTAGGTCAGCCAGCAAGAGCTACACAATATAATCCTAGAGACTGAAATGTATTCACTCTTTCTCTATTTCATGTGAATTTCTGTTTTACAGGTCAGATGACTGCTGAAAGAATTACAGTCCTTATGAAAATTTCTTTGTGATAGCCTCTCTCTTTTCCTGCATTCTGCACTTCTATAATTCTCATTTCCCATTTCTTAAGGCAACAGCCAAAGGCCTTACATCAGATCTAGACCTCCTTATGTTCCACTTACATGTGAAGATAAAGAGGACATGAGGCCTTAGTCTAGTTAGCTTAAGGTAATTAAGAAAAATTAAATCAAAAGTAAAGCAAAGTTTTACATGATGAAAAAGGTTGCAACTTTTTTCTGTTAAACTCCTGAATTACACTCTATTTTACTTTATTGCTTTGCTTTATATGTGTGATGTTTACTGTCAGTGTCTGTGACCCATAAGCAACTGGAATCTGGCTGCCTTACGCCTCTCTTGGTAAAAGTTCAAAGTTAGCAGCACAGTCTGAGGTTATTTGGGAATTACTACTTGTTTTTGAGAAGTTGTGACATTTGAGTATGAGAAAATTGCTTTTCTGTTTTACCTGCAAGACATTTTATTTTTTTCCCAGAGAGTGTCTTGTCAACCGTGCACACTTACCATGATCTTACCAAAATTATGACACCCAAGACTGCAACACATTTATCTTTCTTTAATTCAAATGGCTTAGTTTTGATTTTTGATTTGTCCAGGTGGAAACTGCCTATTTCTTTTAATATATGAAAATCTTGTATCTGTTGGACTAGTAACCCCCAGACAGAGCTGAAAATTTTGTCACAGAAAAAGACAAGACAAGCAATAAAACCATATCTCCTTAAGGTGCTAGAAGAAAGGAAAACATTTGCATTTAGAAATAATATTATTTTTAACTTCTGTCTAGGTCACATGATATCAAGGACTCCTCATAACCCCTTCTGCCTATGTCCAGATCTGACAGCAAAACCCCTTGGAACAGGAGGCCCATCGTCACAGCCAGTATTGTGGAGGTCAGTGATTTCAAATGATTCTGTAAGTTTGGAGATGCTTTCCTCACAGAAGTGAAAATTTCTCCACAGCAAATGGAACGACAAACAGACCTTGGGTGTGACATCAGGGCAGACACTCTTGTCAGAAAGGCAGTGCAAGTAACATACCCAGTTATTTTCCCAGTAAGACCAGAACTATGAATAATTTGTATTTCCTTTAGTATTTAGCATATTTACAGGGCCATTCTTTAATATGCATAATTATTATGTTCCCTATTTAGGTAATAATTAATGCATGCTGCCAATACCATAGAATTGCTCCTTAGTGATGGAGATCCACTTTAAACTAGAGACTTTTAAAGACAGACATGTCTAACACATTGTGAAACCATGCTCCTGCTGAGAACTGAAAATCCATGATTGAATTTGAATGACATTCTAAGATTTCAAACAAGCAATGTTAATAATTATCTATTAAGAGCAAATGACTCAATTTCAATGTAATTTTATTAATGTCAAAAATAAGATCATTTGTAAATACCTGACAATCCAAAATTAGATTTATCATTAATAAAGAAAGTAAGTAGATAAAAGAGGAAAAGTGAATTATCAGTATCAGAAATACAAAAGAACTGCAAAGAACTTGTGAGATACTAAAAATTAAAAAAATCAGATAGCTATTTAGATGCATCATTTTTATGAAAAAGACATCTATTTTTATTTATCATTAAATATAGTAACTTGGACATTTATTATACTTTTCTGTATACTGTTTTTTTCTTTTAAGTTGCTCTCCTCCCCTGTCTTCTCAGGGACATGGTCTGGATAAAAGAAGAACACTCTTGAATTTCTAGATGAAGATGGCAGTTATACAGTGTGACTGAGAGTTGCATGCAGTCCAAGGTAGTGAGACATGAGATTTTTAGTGAAATTCTGTCTCACTGATGTCAATGGGAGCTTTACCCTTAGTTTTAGGGAAAGCAGAATGTCACTCTTTGAATAAAAGACTAGTGTAACTTTCTCCAGCATGTTCTTTGTTTGCTAATGCACTTGTACTACTATAGGTGCTTCATATTTCCTAACTATATCTAATATGACACGGTAGAACGGTTTTTGTCTTGAGCACTGCCTCAACAATTTGACATGTGCCCTACAAAAACAGCTATAGTTTTAAATGCAAAAATTATTCTCTACGTAGCTATCAACAGCAGTATTACCTAGCAAATTTAAAATAAAATGCATACCTGAAGGAAAATCCTTCCAATTCCACTCAGCAACTGAGGCTCTTGCTGTGGGTAATATTTGATGACAGAGTGGTAAGCATCTACAGCCAGCACATAATCCTAAGGGTGAAAAGCATACAGTCAGGTATTTAAGCTCAGAATACTTCAGCCTTTGTGTCACCTTCTTTGTAAAGATCTATTCCAACAGAATTAAAGTATTTGCAACATGTCAGTGGGACAGAATTTCTATCAATCACTCTAGTCACTAGTAGCTGACTACATTGGTCTTTTCTCAGTTACACTGAAACTAAATACACAGGGGATTTTTTTTTTTTTTGTTAACAGGATCATATTCTTTTTGTAGCTAAATGCCACAAACTAAACCTCTTCATTTACTCTTCATCTTAGATTATGATTTGGTATGAAAGTCAAGCACCTTCTGTGTGACTGGGGGTATACACACTTGAGAAGTGTCTCATCTTCCAAATATGTGTATAATTTATAGGGTTTAACAAACTACATTCTAAAGCTTTGTGAAATGCCTGTGTACATGCTCTTGTGAAAAACATCATGTGACAGAAACTGCAATTCCTGTACATCTTCAGGTGACAAACTAGCACTACTACCAAGGGAAACAAGACATTTTCCCTTCCTCTACCTGAATTGTTGGGGTTTTTTACTGCATAAAAGCAAGTAATCTAAATAGAAAAAAACATCTGGGCTAAAACTAAGTGTGGGGAGGACTGGTTCTGATCTCCAGAAAGCTTTGCAAGTGACACCAAGTCTGCAGGAAGGCCATGCTGGCAGGGGGCAGAATTAAGATCTGTCTTCTCAAGATGGAATGCCAGTATACCCTCCAGCTAAGGACTAGTGACAGAAGATTAAACAAATGGGTCCCATTTCCCACTAGAAAGAAATGCCCATGTGACTGGTTCCTGCAGTTCAGCTGCTTCATGGTTGAACCACAGTAATTTAATGACCTCAACAGGACATGACTTTCAGAGCCTGGCCACATGGTTTGGCAGGCAGAGGTGAGAGGCACTGCCCATGCTCTGTGCTGAGACAGGCTGTAGCTGTAGAACATCCACTGGCCCAGGGCTGTACCAGCCTCAGGTGCTGCAGCTTGGGGAAATGTGAGCAGAGGCAGAGAGCACCTGCTTTCACTTACAAGGCCCAGGCCAAGCAAAGACTCTCTGTGCTGTAATATTTTGGTGCTTCCCAACAGTCCTGCCCTTCAACTAAGAATTGTGGTGGGCATTAGAAAGCAAAGGACAATGGAGAATCATCTGACAAAACTACACAGACATCTTGGGATACTCTCTGCCCAACCATTATTCTTACTCAAATTACAATACTCATTTTACTTGTCCCTAATGTGATCATAGCTACTAGCAAAGGTTTGTTTTTCTTCATCTCCTGCTTGGTTTGAGGAAGCAATGTTCTGTAGGTGTAATTAATTTATTTTCTTGAGGATGCACTTAAAAGGAATAAAGCCTCTATCCAGTTCTGAAGTCCTCAGCCCAGGAAACACATGAATGTGTTGGAGCAGGTCCAGGGGAGGGCAACAAAAATGGTGATAGGTCTGGAACATTTCTCAAGAAGGAAGGCTGAGAGAGTTGGGGTTGTTCAGCCTGGAGGAGAAAAGGCTCTGGGGAGACCTCACTGCAGCCTTTCAGTACCTGAAATGGGCTTATTATATATGTTGTGATAGGACAAGGGCTAATGGTTTTAACTTAAAAGAGGGTTGGTTTAGACTAGGTATAAGGAATGAATTTTTTACAATGAGGGCAGTGAAACATAGAACAGGCTACCGAGAAATATGGAGAATGCTCCATCCCTGGAAACATTCCAGGTCAGATTGGTTGGTGCTCTCAGTAACCCAATCCAGTTCAAGAGGTCCCAGCGCATGCAGGGGTAGGTTAGACTAGATGACCTTGAAAGGTCTGTTCTGACCCAAACCATTCTATTTGAAACATATTGTTTCACACAAACAAAAAAATAAGTCTTTGGAGTCTGATCTGTATATGAGAGAAATTACATGTCTTGTATTAGTACGAGATGAGTCAAACAGCTCAGGAAAGCCCTCTACAGGACCTTTCTTTTGCAAATAACTTGTATACTGAGTATAATGATTAATTCTGAACAATTAATTATTAAAATTTAAAGTTTATTACAATTCTAATGTGCCATGACAAGTTCACTCTTATTGGTAATAAAAAGAGTTCAGAGGAAAACCACAGAGGAATGTGCCACATACACATGTATATTTACTTAAATGCTGCTGTATTTATCATTCACAACTCAAATGTGATGAAATTAAAGCAACCACAATTTTTCACATTTATGATTTAGAAAAACTTCGATTTTCATTGTAACAGCTCTCAGTAAAGGATTTCATTCATCACGGAGTACGACTGTGTTAGGCATACAAAACTTGGAATAGGACCCTTTGATCTAGCTCTTTAGAGGAACCCCAGACATAACTGTAGTACCTATTAATTCTTCCAACAGTATAACCTACTAAATCTGAAGGATTGTCTAGAACTGTGATTTTTATCCCTTCAAGCATCAAATGTAGTCACTAGAGAAATAATTTTCTTGTATCAAATTCTGTGGTTCTAAAGCTGCCCCTTACCCGGTGCTCACTCTTGTGCACACTCTAAGGCTCTGGCTACACAATAAAGATGCACAGCACAACCATGAGGGATTGCAGCTCTGCAGTCACATCCCCAAACTGATGCATAAACAACTCCCAGGAGACCATGCATCAAGTTGATAGATAAGTGCTTCTGCCAGCTTAGTCTACAGTTTAGCATGAACTGACTGCAAAAAAGCCTCAGCCACAAGAAGCTGCACAAGTGGGCAGTGTTTGCACCATCACAGCAGCACAGGCTCCCTCGTGTACATAGCAGCCAGCTTTGGTAGGAACAAGCAGCCAAGTCTTAGAGGCCCATGCTGCAGGGGCTTCATGGATTTGGCCTAGTCAGGGAATGAAACCCTCCTCCTTTTCTGCACTCCTTGTCCTTATCTCCAACACCATATGCATTACAACTATAAGCACATAAACACTGACAGCTCCTGAAATGTGAGACCAGAGGTGAACATTAAGAGTCTATGCACTCTGTTGGTGGTTACTGCATCCTCTTTCCATACAACAGCACAGCACATCATGCCTCTGCTTACCCACCCCATGCCTTGGAGTATCTGCCACAGGAACAGGACCCATTTTTTCCAGGAGATGACAAGAGACTAAATTTAAGTCCAAAAACAAAAGCAAGGATGGCCCAAGGATGAAACTGTGAAACATCATTGTTCACTTCTAAATGCAGTCTCATTCTGTGGTCACCCATGGATCCCACAGTGAGTTTAATATGCATTTATTGTCCTCTCCACACTATGATGAAAGAAAGCATTAGGAGATTTCTTAAATATCCTACTATTCTGTGGTGACTTATAGAGGCACCTTATCTGACAGTTCCTTCTGATGGAGCACACTGTAAAATAGATGATATTTGGTCTCACTTACTAAAGACTGTTGTCATTCACTGTTTTGCTAATGTGACATAATACAACAGAGATTGTCTGATGGAATGATAAATACATACCGTCTCTGAGGAGTGAAGTCTTGATTGATACAAGATGTGGTTATGAGGAGTAAAACACATTAAGTATTGCCAGTAAAAACCCTGATTACAGTTTGTGATCTTAAGACTTAGAGATGTGGCTGACATATTGTCATGGTCTTTAATTGAAAAAGATTAAGAGCCTTTCAGTTTTCCACACCTTTGCAAAAAAATCCCAGAAGGTCTGAAATTACACTATTTAGGATATGAATGAGAATTGGCCTATTGTTTTATAACTCAATACCTCTTTTATTATGAAAATATGGGGCCAACATTACCTATACTAATCCAAAATAGTTCTAGTAAGCCACTGGACCTACCTGCTGGAGTACATTTTTCCTTCAATGCACCACAGTATAACTGCACTTCCCTTCAAGGTGGATAGTTCAGGTTTTGGGGAGAGAGGTCAGGGATAACTAACTTATCCTTCCTCTCTATCTAGTGCAGTTGTGGAAGGGTTATGAAAACAGAGATTCACAGTGCTATGAATCCAGAGAGCTGTACTGCAGCATTCAGTCAAAAGACATGATGATTCATGCAGTCTTTCTCCTTTAAATCGTAGAAGAACCAAAGTCCTCAGGCATCAGTCCCTTGTGTCACTAGCACAAGTTGTTACCTCCTTCTTGGTACCATTTTAATTGTATTATACCCAGATTAAAATAAATTCTAATGCTTTTCTTTTATGAAGGGCAAGCTCTACAAAAGCTAACACAACACTGAAGAAAACTAAAAAGCACAAAATGTGCCTTTAATTAGAGTGCATTTATAATATATATGGAAAACACTTAAGTGTTTATTCCTCAGAGAGATAAAAGTCTGATAAGATAATGTCAAAAGCGATTTTAGCTCAGATAAGAAGAACTTAGAAAGTTTTTAAGACACTTCCACAGTGATTTAGTAAAGTGACAGGCATTTTGCAGATAGACTTTTGAAAAGAAACAATGCACATCATCAGCTGTATGTTAAATTAATATTCCCCTCATGCTGCTATATTCAGGATGTGCTTTCATAGTGACATAAGCCCACAGTTCTTGTAAATGGAAGTCTGCAGTGAGAGGTTACATAGCCCCCCTTCCCCTCCTGCTGTATTTCAACATCTTTCCTTAAGTTGTCTCTTGTTCACAGGAAACAGGAAAGCTGTTTGATTTCAGTTGATACAAATGCAATCCAACATTTCTTTGTCATTTGGTTAAGTTCAACAGTGGGGTACAGAAAGAAGGTAGAACCCATTTAAGAAATGCTATACAAAGAACAGGAAAGAAAGATTGCCTTGAACTGCTACCAAACCGTAGCATGGTATAAAGGGACACAGCAGGCAGAGTTCAGTACCTAGGAAAGATATTCCCAGGGTGTAGGAGACACAACTGATTTCCTGTGCCTGGGTAAATCATTTTGCCTTCACTCACTACCTCCAAAATAAAATACCCTTCCATCTCAAAATTTAAGGAGATGTTTAACTATGAAACAAATGAGGCATATTTAAAAAGGCAAAAATCATTGTACTACATAAACAGAATTCTTTGATTCAGGCAGATAATGCAGAAAAGATATTACATGAAATAAACCTAAGAGTTGAGGATAACGAAAATAGATTTAAATAGGGCCAATATCTAATCTTAGTGGTTTTTTTTTAATTTTCAAGTGTCAATGCTGACAAGATTGTTCCCTGTTAAATACTACTGTAGTTTTTTTGGCCAAAGAAAGAGGTCAGTAAAAGTAAGATAATATGTTTGGTTTGTTTTTTTTTTTATACCAAAGTCACACAGTTTTACTTTAATAAATTATTGTTATTATCATCATCATCAACTACTTTTGCCCAAGGTATTCCATCATCTAACAGTACTTGGGGACCAAGCATAGTCTTGCAATATTGCAAATGGTCACTAGATGGCAACAGATGGCGCTGACTTCGAGAATGAAATCGCTGTTTTTTCTTAAATTACATACACTTGGAACACTAGAATAAAAACAACTGCAATTTTTAAAGTATATGATACAACAGCAAAAAACGGGTGGAAACGTGTTAAATTAATATAATTGTTCACAGTAGAACTCAAAAAAGTGTGTTTAAAACTTATTTGAATAGATTCATGCTGGATACTCTGGAAGGTAGAGAAGTTGACTGCAGTACTGCTGCATGTTTGAATGGTCTGGGGATATTCCTGAAAACTGAGACTCACAAGTACCCTACAGCCAATGCACTGAAATGCAAATTTTGGATGGAACTAATTATGCATTAACATGCAGTTGTGCATAATTTGGAAGTTATTGTGAACCATAAATTTCTAATTTATAGCATTATAATTTATAATTTATATTTTAATAGCAGTGAGATAGGTCCTAAATACAACCGGTCATCTTAAGAAGTATTTGAGCTGCAGTATTTCTGAAATATCATTTCCAAAAAGATGATAACTGGTATTCACAAATATTTCTGTTACTCAAAGAAAATACCCCTAACAAGATCCAACGAGAGGAAAGTGAGAACTGTGTGTGCATGTAGATTTCTGTGTACACATGAAAAACACATGAGTTAAAAAAGAATTCACATCAAAAAGTAAAGTGAAGTTCTTGAAAATATATATACCAGTATTTTTTTATATATTCTACTTTGTTTAGGATAGTTCATGCTTTTCTTCACTTGCTTACTGAAAAAGAGAATGATTTTAAAAATGAACCTGTCATGTAGTTACTTCAAAAGAGAAACTATTTTAATGAACAATTATTTATATGCAAGACTGAACTGTTCTTATAACAATTTAATCATGCAAACAAATGTATGTTTCCCCTAATTCTAATAACAAGAATATTCCATTTCATGTAAAGCTGTATAGCTGGCTCTCATATTAAAAACACAACAAAAAAGAAGACACCATACTTTTTTGAGGTATTGTAATATTAAGAATGGATCCTTGTTTGGGAATTAGCTCAGTAAACATCAGAGGATGAGGTCTGGCATGACCTTCGGCAGTCAAAGTGCAGGGAGCCAGGAGTGCAAATCTTGGCCTGTGAAGATTCTACTGCTGACAGCCCTGCTGCAAGGCTATTGCTGCTAACTGATTTGTAAAATACAGTTTAGCTCAGGATAACAGCAGTTTGCTGCAAGAATGGCGACACCCCAGTTTTCCTGACCACATCATGATTGGCAGAAGTTGTTTTATTTCTACTTCCTGAATACAAGGGGAAGCTAAGACTGTTGCACCAAACAGAGTACAATTGGTTAAAAAACATAAGGAGGAATCAAGGGGGAAAACATCACCAGTGAAAGCTAGTCACTTTTGCTTTTATTGCTTTCTTTTCCACCCCTACCCACTAGTGAGGATTTAAACTTGAAAGAAGACATATTACAACTGAGATCAGTTGACAAGGGAGGATGTATTTAGATGTTCCAGATCACTATCCCATACAAAAGCTACAGTGTTACTAAGCCTCACAAACAGGGCAACATTCCTAGTGCACAGTTTGAAAAAGGCAGAGCACATAATTGCTTTTAATTAGAGCATTTAGTTAAGTGTTTGAAAAATTCAATTTAAAAATGCAAATTCTGTATTGTTATTGCATGTTCTCTAGGATGATTTGAGGAGAAATAAGTACAGATATGCTCCCAAAGAACATTACTGCAAATAGCTATCTATTAAATAAGACATTATTAAGCCTAATTAATTCTTCAATAAGCAAAACCTTCATGTACTGTCAGGTAGTCTTCCCTTATCTCTGCACCAGTAATTTCTCTTGCATTTTCTCTGACATTCTATTCTGGAATATACGGTACCTCTGCAGTTCTGCCACCCACGTACCTTCATCATTAGCAGACAGTTTGCCATGGAGTACATCACCCGGCCCAGACGTGACCTCCACAGCTGAACAGAGGCTGCAAAATAAGAGCAGCTTGTGAATTTGCACAAATAAATTAGAGGTTCTTTCTTGCCATCAATTATCGGTCCTATGAATTACGATTTTGAAAGGTCCCCCTCGTTAACACCACTGGGTTTTAGCCTAGAATTTTTAATCCTCAGCCCTGCTGCAGCACCAGAGAATTCTGCATCTCTCCAAGGGAATTGCTCAAGCAGCTCTGGGTACCATACACAAGGCAACAATGCAGAGCAGTAGACAGTCACACAGCTCTCAGCTCGGGCTAAATATTAAACACTGAAATAAGCCACACATTTTCCAACATCAGAACAAAAGGTGCATAAAAGGATTCAAGTGATAATGAGCAACAGTTCAAAAACATGTAATCTACAGCATTAAATGTGGTAAATTAAAAAAATCAAACATAGCTAGAATGTAATTCCAGAACCAAAACATGCAGAGTGAGAAATGTCTGAGTCTGGGACTGTTTGTGCTTGCCTCTGGCTGAGAGATATGCTGAAAAAAATCTGCCAAGCTTGTCTGCTTTCCCTATTTTCCTGGAGCTTACAGGCATTAAAAGCTGCAGCAGATTTCTAACTCTTGCTTTGCAGACAGACTCCTGATGTTGCAAGAGAACAGTTCACACAGACCCTTATTTTCTCTCATGTTACAGTACCATAGATCAATGCTAAGAGTATTTCTCTAATCCTCAAAAATAAACATTAGGACTATTAATTTAGGACATTTGAAAAATACATGTATCTCAGTCAATCAGCTGTCAAGGTCACTGTAATGATTTGAAAGAGTGGGGGGAAGGGAGAAGAGGCTATTTCAACAAAACTGTGTTAACTGAGACTAGTCATTTGTATCATTAATGTAGTCACTGATGAAAGCATGGCAGATTAGACAGATAATTCTTTCAGCACACAAAGAAGTCATTACAAATAAGAGCTTGGTGAAATGTCTACTGCCTTTCCTAAAAAGGAAAACTCTTTCCATCCTCTTCAACAATAAAACAAAAAAAAATCCAACCCATGAATATTCTCAAATTATCTTTGTCAGAAAGAGGCTTACAATGTAGGGTCCAAGACTGAAGCTGATATTTCACCTGCAATACTTTACCTTGTATTTTATGTTTTAAAAATTCCCCTGTGACCACACATCCCTAGTGCTACTAATGGAGATGATACTGTAAGCCATGAACAAATACTTCATGACACATTCCTTTTCTTTCCTTGTAGGTATCAATAAAATCTGAACATAATTAAGTACCTGCCATTCATTATTTCACTTAAGTAAATATCTCCTCTTTTGCACGTCCTTGTAGTTTGATAACCACAGTCAGTTTTTTAGGACTTAGGTGACAACAAATTAGATGCTGATTCCTACACTGGAGGCATCCAGGTTTCATGTTAACAATCAGATAGCATCAGCTGCAGTTCTCAAAAAAGGACTTGAAAGCATGCAAACCAGATGTCTCCAGCCTGTGCTATAAACCGAACAGGAACCAGGTCTGGAAATCTGTAGCTCTGTGGGATGAAGCTTCTTAGCACTGGCAGAAAGGGGTTAAAAAAAACCTGCAAAGCACTAAACAAAACCAAAACCCAATAGCAGATCACTGTTTTACTGAGATGCCTGAAACACTCTCTGCAGGTCCATGCCGCCATGCTTCCACTCTAGCATTTGCTTTTCCTTGTTTTCATTAAGGGCTCTGTATTCCACACTCATTTCAATAGGCACTGTGAAGTTACAAAATTGGCATCTTACAGAACGCGTTACCAGGCAAGTGGTGCTATGCTAAATCTCTCTGCCTGCTGAAAAACTGGCAAATGAGGTGCTCTGTTCCAGGCAAGAGATGCACGTGGTAAGTTGATTGGTGTTGCACCTCCTTACATCAGCAGCATGGAAATTACATGCTAAGCATAATCCCCATAATGAATTAGGGCTGTCTTCATATGAAGTTAATAAGGTTTGCTTCAGCAAGTCTCAGATGAAAAAAAGCAAACCCATTATTAAGCCTCCTGGAGCTCCAAATGCAGAGACAAAGCAGAGAGGGAGCAGACCTGGCTGACCTCCACAGACAACAGCAGTCAACAGCCTCTGCAAAGGTCCCATGGGCTTTTTGGCAGTCTTAAACCTAGAGGCAGCTGCACAGTAGACATGTAAAGATCTCTCCAAATTTTCTGCAGCCATGTCCCTTGATAACTACTAGCTGCTGCTTTTCTAACTATGCCTCCTCCTGAGCCCATCTGAGCTCTGAAGCAGAAGCAGAGAGGAAAAGCAAGGAGCCAGTAACTCATGAGTGAAGCAGACTGCAGGACATAGGATTATGATACAACTAGGAAAAAGTCCTTGCACCTTAAAGGGAGACCAACAACTCGGTTTTAAAGTTTTAAAAAACAAAAGATGTGCAGCTGAGGACGAAAATTCTGGCAGAAGGTGCTAACAGGAAAAAGTAAGTAGGAGAACAGAGGCAAAAAGAATATAAGATACAAGAGAAAAGAACAGAAACTCACTAAATGCTGTGTCTAATTTCAATATAAGATTATGTCCCTTTTTCCTAAACCTTTTGAGAAGAGTACTAAATGTATTCATTTGACTATATGTGTAAATACCTTTATGATATATGCTTCTCACATGTGTTTGTGATTTTAGGACGCATTCAGAAGGTGTATCACATCAGGTACAGTGACACATTAAAGCAACTTTTACATCCAGTGCAATTGAAGACCACATAGAAAAATAGTTCAGACAGGTCTGCACCCTTCCACAAAGACAGTTTAAAGTAATTATTTATAATTTTTTTCTGCTATTAACTCTATCCAGCCTCTCCTATCTCAGAGCCTGACCTTTACTTTCCAAGGGCTCTGTGTGAATGGTCTCCTAGAAAGAACTTGGTAACATTCCTTAGACTGTTAGCTAAAAGTGAAAATTTTTTGTTTTCTTGGTGGGTGTTTTTAACTTGCTAGGCATCATGAGGGGTTCATACAAATCTACAGCAATGCCTCCTAAAATGTCTTCTCTTGTCTAATTTTCAAGTATACTCAGATGACCTCATAAGTATAAATTCAGTTAAAAAAAAAAAAAAAAGCTTGTCCTGATCACCCTTTTTTGTGCCGTGATTTGCCCTATACTATTGAAGCAACATCACTAAGATAGAAGGAAGAGGAGAAAACATAATTTGGTATAAAATCATGAAAATGATGATGTAACTCAATATAATCTAAGTATTATTTTAACAAGTGTCTTAGATATTTCTGGAGTCTAAGTACCATGCAGCTACAGTGAGACTCAGCCATCTGTGCAGGAGCACCCTAAGCCAGAGTAGCCATGGTATGGGGGTAGTTCAATCTGAAAAAACTGAGTGGATGGCAAACATGAGGTTTGAGAGGAGTCAGTCAGCCAAGGCTTAAGATGAAACACCCATAGTGCTGTAATAGCAATACACTTATATATTCACCACTAAAGGATAACAGCCATGTTGTTTCCCCTAAGTAAGAAAAAGAATTGATTTATTGCATGAGTTTGATCAAAGGCAAAACTGTGAAATTAATTCCAGCAAAAAGTAGTACAAGGTGTATCATTTCAGGGGCTGAGTAGGCTGTAAGATTACAAAACTACAGTTTTAAGCAGTCTGGGGCAGTCTTGTGAAAACTTCTGGCACACTTAGGCAATCAATAAAAACACACTGTCTGTGAAAAAAATGTTTAAAGAATACCTACCTTGTCTGTTCTCCTGTGTAATGTTAGTCATACTTCCATCTTCAGCTAAGCCTTGTTCCAAATTTTCTAGTATCTGTAGTAATTTTTTTAAAGTAACCAACATCAGTTTAAACAGCACTATGTATTTAATGCAAATTATCTACAATGGACAGTCTCTGTGTAAACCAATTCATGCAGGAATGCTTCACTTAGGTACAGTTCAAAATTACTGGTTATTACCATAGCTATATCAATTGCACAAAGAAAGTCATTGTACTGTAGAAGGATGTTAAGAGTTCAGTTTATGATACCTACAGCACATTAAATGCCAGCACACTCTAGGGTCACACACATTTTGTTAAGTAAAACAGGAAATATGCTTCACCAGAGAATGAACATTAATGACTGCAATGAAAGTCAAAACTGATTTTTTTCAGGGAAGGCCACAGCCTCCTGACTTCTTCACCCTCAGTATGGGCTTTAGTTTCTTTAGTTCCATGTTTTTGTCTTTAATGAAGTATACCTCTTAGTTCTTACTGCAATTTCCTTCTCAAACTTTGGGGTTTATTGCTTTTTTAAATTTATTGTAGATTTTAGGTCATGTAAATTGTTGAGTGAATGAAACATCTGTTGTTTTATTGGAAAGAACAGAAATGTATACTTAATGAACCTTGTATCTGAAGCACTTTTAAAGTATGCATACAAGGCTCCATTTGAAACACAAGTCAACTTTCCTTTTCTTAATTCCATTACAATTCTCCAAATTAATTTACCAGTTCTCACAGATGGCCCCATTTTTTTCTACTACAGATATATGACTTTGGTTGGAGAATGATGCCTGAGATTTCCTTCAAAAAACTATTAGGGCCATTTGCTATTTAATCAGCCACTGTGGACACCTAATGAAGGAAATACAAGGCACTGCCTCTTCTGGGGACTAAGCACACCTCCAAACAAAGCTTTCAGTTTCTGGCAGTATAAGAAGTAATTGTCTTTTCCTAAGCCAACAAAGTGTTCCAGCTGTTCTCAGTGTTTCACAAATCAACACTTCAAATCTACACAACAAGTCCTCAAAAGAAGACATGTAGAATTAATCTGGCCTTGGAAAGTGTGTTAGTGTTTTCTACAGCCAATCAAGATAATCTGTACCTCCAGAAAGTTATCTCATACCACCAATTTCAAGATCATATTAAGCTGAAGAAATTGCCCTATGAGTTACCAAGCCCTTATCACAGACTAGAGTGAAGTTTTGAACTCAAGTTCATAAATTCAACTACAAAGAACTTAAGAGCAAGGAGAGACATACACCTAGAATATTTACCACCCGCCAGCTGAGCAAGGTTAATTCTCCTGGTAAGAATTGTTAGGCCATGACAAATACAAGGTGATACGGTTTACTGTAAACTTTGGTGAGAGGGCTAGACTGAGCTACCTTACCTCAAATTCTGAGAGGCTGTGAGCATACACCAATAGACACTTAGCTGACAGGTGGCAATTTATGAGCTGGCAGTGGCATGCCTGCAGGACTGACTCTCAGTACCACTTTCAAAAGCAGTGCAGCCACCTAGAAATCACTTAGAAACCAAAGTGCCACCTTTCAGTGTTGAATGCCTAGTGTACAATAAGACACCTTGTCAAAAAAAAACAACCCACATTCTTCTCTCCCATAAATTCAAACCACTTTATAATCTACTTTGTGTAAAAACCCTGATCTTTCTCTTCCCCTACAAAATACCTAGTGATTTCCTCTCAGATTCAATAAGGCCCAAAGTTCCTACTCCTGAAATAGTACAAACACAAGGGCCCTTCATCAAGGTGACATGCTGTCTTGTTTAAAAAGACAATGTACTTCTCTGAAAACATTCTCACTAAAATAAACAAAAAGGGAAGAATTAGATATTAGCATACAATTAGAGTATTACATTAACCATTCTGTGACATTACTTGGGGATATCTAGCTGTGACCTCAAGCTCAACATCATTAAAACAGAGCTCAGCAATGATTTGAGGCTAATTATTTTATTCCCTAGGTTTATCTCTCTTTTGCCCTGAAGTACAAAAACATCACCTGCAGTTTTTCAGTAATGGGCATTTCCCCATTTTCCAAGAATTGCTTAATAGTAACATTAATGATTCCGACAGTTTCTCAGTCTAAGTTACTGCATTTAGTCAATATGAAATATTTAGGTGGTAAACTGTTTATTCTAGCAATATCACAAGACATAGCTCTAACCACCCATGTTCCAACTATATGAAGAAAAATATGATTGAACACTTCTACAATTTAATTAATCAGCTTTACATATGACCTGTGCTTTTTCTTGTTTTAATCACTTACCATTATGCACACTACTTAGTTTCACTGGCTAGTATTACTTCACTGAGTCTTCTGTTTCATTCCCTATGTATTGCCTGTATGCAAGAATTACTAATATATGCATAACACCATTCAGGCTTTTTTGGTGCTTCTGGAACTGTGGCTTTTTGGGTATTTAGACTTGTAAAGGGTCATCATAGGTTCCATGAACTTAACAAACAAGGTGTCAAGACAAATACCCTGCATATGAAAAACAGAAAACTTACGCCACCTTAGCAACTAGAAGCTTAAAGTAATCAGATCTAAGGAAAGTTCACCAATTTGGAAATAAAGCAGAAGGCCAGGAGATATGGAAGAGTGTGTATCAAAGGACCATGGAGGAACATAACCACTCATGAAGGGTGGTGGAACTACAGAAGTTGTGGCTGATGGGAAAACGGCACAAAGTACTTTTGGCAAGTTTTGCAGAAGTAACACATGCAGAGGCCTTTTTAGGAAGCAAGGCTGTTAACCCACTTGCCACTGCTCTTCCCACCTGGTATGTGGGAAGTACAAGTGCCCAGTATGGCTGTGGCAGTTGAGGGATTAGGGTTTAAAAGTGAAATATATTGTACTATGAATCGTGTAAATTTCCAGGAGCTCTCCCTCAAACATCTAGGGAAGCAGAGGTACATACAAACAAGACAACTTTAGACTTAGCCTGACAGTTGTCCTTTTCACATTCTGGCCTCCAGCTGAGTGTTCTTTAGCTTGTCTTCAGCATTATCAGCACTAAAGTGATCATGCTTATGTTTTTAAATGAACACTTGAAAAGAACAAGTCCTTTTGTGATTTAAGTTACTATTGTTACTTTTATTGCCTGGCTGTTCAAAGACCATTAATTTCAAGGTGGACTTAGAGGTCCAACAACTCATTGAGGCAGTTCATGTTGGGAAGACCATCAATAACACAGAGACAGCAACAATTTCACTGGATTCCTCTGCCAGGCTATAACAGCCTTTTGGCACTACAGATAATTTCTTTCCCAAATGTTGCTCATATAGAAAAAGATGCAAAATATCTAAACAGATCTTGATCAGACACTTGCAGGAATACTGGAAAACATAAAATCATTATTACAGGAAAAAAATATATGGAAACATATATTCAGAAAAAATTAAAACAACATTTTTGCACTCAACCATCAATCCTGCTTCAGGTACCAGAGATGTGTAAATAGATGGAGGCTGTAAAGATCAAGTAATCAAAATAAATACAGTTCCATCCTTAAGTGGAATGGTTAATCTAAAGTTGTCAAGTGTGTGTAGAACATATACAACAAAAAGCAATAAAGAATTTAGCAGATTAAAACCAAGTATTGGATAGGAAACAAACCTCATCGTTACATTAAGGAAGAGAAATGAAAGACAAATTTTCTTGTGATCAGAATGCACTACCATTAGCCTGGAATAACCTCCCAGGGCCCAGATGTGGCCTCAGCACCATAGGCTGGCTCATTAAAAACTACAAAACAACCCTGCATTGCAGAGAGAGACTAGGTAAGCTAATAGGTCTTTTCTTTCTTCTAGCTTTTATGACTCCAAGATCATCTCATTTACATAATAATGATTCGTATGCCCTTCTGTAAATACGGATGACCAAAGATTATTTTTCCACTTTTTAAAACAGAGAGGTAAAACACTAGAGGCTTTTGGTTGAAAGCTCCCCAATTAATTCTGTTATAACCCAAATAGTTCCCAAGTGTCACATACAAATATTAAAACTAATGAGTGTACATCCTTTATGTTATTTTTGTGGTTATGCCATGGGTTTTTTTAAGTATTAGAACCATATTCTTGAACATTCCAGTTGAGATAGAGATTATTTAGACAAACAGCATTCTGTACAAAAATCAAAACATATACAGTGTTTTTTATCAGCCAGCCTTGATAAAAATAAATAATGATAAAACCATCAAATGGTTAAATTACCACCAATTTACAACTGTCTTTTAAAAACACACATCTTCACAAGCTGCCCTTTTTCACACTCTTCTTTCTACAGTTGTCCTTGAATTGCTCCAAAAACTAAGGTACTTAAATGAATACAAACAAATGAAGTAATCTGCAATGAGGTACGTAGAATAACTGATCAGAAATATTTCAAAAATTTCAAAGACAGATGTTCTATTTGTTAGTAGTTATCTGTTTACTGTACTTTACAGAAGCATCCATCAGCATAGACAATAGCTTGTCCTAGCTACTGTATCCTGGCTCTAGCGGAAGCTGTCAGAACCAAAGGGATATTGTTTTTCTTTCTGCAATTGGACGCACAAACACAGGGAAAACCTTGCAAACTCAGACACAGGAAGGCAAAGGCCAAGAGGTGACAATCTCTGAACCAACACCAAGAGCAGAGAACAAGAGACTCCTCAGAAGAGCTCATGGAAGATGTAGAGCCAGCTTTAAAGCGGCCTTCTCCAAGAGTACAAGGGATAACAAAGAATCTGCAGTGACCCAGGTCACTAGCAATTGATGAACTGAGAACACTAGGAAGAGACCTGTTCTTCAAGAACTTAGTGGGCAGGGAAATATGTATATACTAATTTATAACTCTACTTTATTTCTATTTCATCTTCTTTACCATATTAAGTTTCCCTTATTTAAACAAATAATCAGCCCAGTTCATGTTCAAACAAAATCTTTTATTACAGTTTAAAAGCTTCCTTGGTACACTGGCTATGGTCTAAGGATATGCAGTTGTAGAGAAACATCAGAGGCAGATCCACCTCAAGGCTGCAGATGACTTGAAGATATAAAGGAGCATGTGTGGGGAGAACAGAGTTAATTTCCTTTTATTTCATTCCTCCACTGACCAACAATCTTTAACCTGCAGAGAATCATGGCTGATCACACTGTAACTGAGATATGGCCATGTCAATCAAATCTGCCAGATGGCTGATGGATACCCTGCTCAGCAGTCACTCCCTCGTTCACATTCAGTTTTCTCTCTTTGTTACAAGATTAAGGAACGTAGAAACCAGTTCAGTTTTGGAACCTAGTGGCACCTCCATGACTGAGGGCAGACAGTGAAGCACTTAATACCAGATTGCAAAAACCCAAGATGTGAAACAGCCGATCTCTTGCAGACTGAGGCAGGCAAAATGTTAGTAGAAACACCATGAAATCCTGCAATAGAAGTGGTATGGCATTTTCTAGAAGAACAGAATTACTTCAAATTGAGAACTGTTTATGAGGAAGAGGGCTGGAGAGAATAGCTGGCCAGTGATATCAGACAAGAGGTAACAGCAGTCGTCAAGTGCTAAGAAGTATCACTTCTTGGCCAAATTAGATATATTTCTCAATGGTTTCCCGATCGATTCTTTCCAACCTTATAAAAAGTGCCACTTTCACCTCTCATTACCTAAACCATTCATTTTTTCCCTCTCATAATAAAAAGGATTGGACTTTTTACTGTAAACATTTGGTTATCCTACACATTAATTTATTAGAAGTTGATTTCATATACCTAATGCCATTACAGCTACAGAATTAGCAACTGTCATATCCCTCCACTTCCCTTATCCAAGTTAGTTAAAGGAGTAAATATAGGAAACTTGCCAGGAACACTGAAAATGAAAAGTAATCACCCATGGTTATCTTACGTACAGTTTTGAACTTTCAAGAGTCATAGATGAAGCAATAATATTGCATTTCTTCTACAGTTTACCACATTGTAAAATTCATGGTCACTGGTGCATTAGACTACTTGGGAAAGATTTCTGTGAAAAAAACCATTTAAGACAAATGCTTATGGTTCAGGGTTGCTGGTTTTAGTGGGTAAAGTTAGTGCTCACAACACCATAACTCAAATTTCAGCACTCACAAATCCCATGTTATAATTCAGGCCATAATTATTATGGCATTTGACAAAACAAAACAAAAACCCCAATCAAACTCAGCAGGTTATATTTACACTCCTAAATGACTACAGTTTCTAAAATCAGTTATTTGGACTATTTCTGAAGGATCAAGATCATTAACAACAGTTTTCAGCAAGCTGGACATGGCTGAGTGAAGGAAAGAAATCTCTCCTACTTGCCCTTAAACACATCTGCTTACTGTGCTCCACATCTTGTCTGGCAAAAGCATCAAAGTTGTCCTCTGTTCTACTCAACTGAGCCAGAGCTACCACAAAGAAGAGAAGGATCTCTCTTAAAATGCAAGAGGCACTTCATTACTTTTAATAGCAAATTTCTTATTTGCATCAAGATGGAGTAAAAATGTCATAATTGAAACTTAATGTTCTTTATAAGGACAATAAAATTTATTTCTTAAACATTAAGAAATGTTAGTGCCTAGAGATGCTGTTACCTTGGCGCAGATTATCTTCATACTGTGCAGTCTGTCAAGTGATTCCTGAGGATTTCCTAGGTACTGAGGAAGTTCAGCATGCAAAATCCGCATGGAGAAAGGAACCATAGAACCTAGAAACGCAATTAATTTTGTTAAGTGTGTTTGCTATAATGACCAGTTTGTGATTTGCCTGAGTTAAAAAAAGGTATGTCTCACTAGTGTTTACATCACAAATATGTGACATAATGGATATAAGTAAGTGAAAAATGGACATAAAAATACATAATTTTTGCCTTCACATCTTTTTCTTGTTCTGATGAAAAATGTGAAAGATGAGAAAATAGGAAAGTTACTCTTAGCTATATCATGTGGCATGTTTAAAATGTTTTAAATAGGCAAACACCAGGAAGGCAAGAAGGTGCACCTAACTGAAATTTTCAAAAACAAGTTGTACTGGGAAGTATAATGTTTCATTGAAGATTTCTTTTAACTAATTAAAATGAAGGATTAAAAAAATGAAGTTTACTCAAGTTGTAGCTACATTACTACCAGCATTTAATAATTCTGTGTATTTTACAACCAAAGTAGAAGAAATAAGATGAAATTACTGGCCTTCAAAGTATGCCTGTGAAAGAGATATAACCAGGGCATGCAAAACCTCTTAGCATATTTCTGTTTATCTTCTGGTGCATTCAAAACATCAAAGAATAGGGAATTTAAAGGAATATTTGGGGTGAAAAAGAAATTATTACTGGTTTACTACTACTACTGTTGTTATTATTATTAATTATTATTATTTCTATCATCATTATCATTATAATTAGTATTGTCAAAGACCTCATTTTCTACATTTATGGGCATCTTGGCTGACTTCATAGGCAGTTCCAGGAGTTTACCTGACCCCTAATGTGTGCAACATCTTGCTTTCAGGTAACTGCATAATCCTGATACACGGACAACAATAATGAATGTGAACTAAACACCACTACTGAAACCAAATCAGCTGGCATAATGGGGATATAGGCCTTGCAAAATACCATGCCACTGATGCCTCATGATGTAGCTTTTATATTTTATAAATATATAAATTTATATATTTATATATATATATATACTGTACTGCTTTAGTGTATAATTCTAAAACTCCATAGCCTGTCAGCTACCGTTCTCCCATTTTATTCAGACTAAACAACTCCTCTCCAGGCCTGAAACTCAAGGACACCTTACTGTCTCATGCCCTGAGAGATGGAAACAACAATGAATTGGGGGGACAAACTTGGAGTAAATGACTATTACCTGAAGCAGTAACTGGAGGATTAACTCCTGATATGCAAATGGACCAAACTTATAAATGTATGAAAAACTTGTGGCCATCGTCCATCTCGGAGGTGTCTGAGAGCCCAAGGTGCACCTATTGAAGGCCTTCAATAAATACCCACTTTTATCCTCTTAATTTTGTCTAGTCTCTGTTTTAGGTAGCTATTCCAAGGCACCACCACATTTCTAATATTTTAATATGTACATTTGCTATACACATATTCTAAGGGATTTCTCAAGTTACCTTTTGCTTCATCTTTTCTCAATAACAGGACTCAGGAGCTTCCTAAATAGATTTTTGCACCTGTTCTTAACAGGCTTGTACATCAAAGAGGTAAATGCTATACAAAATGAGTCACTCACTCTAGAATTTTTTTTAAAGGGTGACAAAATTTTAATCACAAGACTCACTAATTATGACCTTCACAGTAAGCATCTTACATTTACATAAATTCTCTTTTGCTGATGTTAACTATTCCCAATGGCTTCCCTGACTGCTATGTTCCTGTAATGGACGCACACGTGAGTTTCATGCATCATCATACGTGGAAAACACATTAAGAAAATAAATCTGCCTTTGAAGTTCTATTAAGAGACATGTAGAAGTTGATTCAACCAGTCACGAAAGATGTGAAGTATTTAATGTATGTATTCTGAATAGTGCCTAGCATGACAGAAGATACACAGTCAGTTTAGGCAGTGTACAACAACAAAAAGGAAGTGGAAAATAATTTAAGAGTAAATTCTATGCCAAAATACCACAGAAAAATTGCTTTACAGACATGTTGCAAACTGCACTGAAACCTATGGAAGCAAATCTGAACTATGGCTGGTTCTGTCTCTACCACCTCTCTGATGACCAAGTTCTAACAACTCCACAGTCCAACAGTAATCCTGCCAAAAAGAAAGCTGTGCCTAAAACCAGCTAGTTTGGTACTGCTTTTTTGGAGAAGGTAGTCTTAATTTACTGATGATGCACCTTCTGCTGCACTCAAAGGGATTTGAGGCAAAGGTAAGAAAAGGGGGGAAAAATTTTGTAAAATCTGAAAGAAGCTGAAGTTTTAGTAAATGACTATGCTGCAGCATTGTCAATTCTGAACAAGTTTGTATGTTTACATCCTCTTGTAAAATGCAGCAAAAGGTCACTTCAATAAACACTCATACAGAAAAATCAAATTACTACCAGAACTCAACATAAAAATACAGGTATTTAATGAAGCACAGGTGAAATATCTCACATTATCAATTTTTAATAAAATTTACATAATGTTTTGTTATACAGTTTTTTTGAACTCTGTATTTTGTAAAGTATTGATCTTACGTATTGCTGAATAAAACTACTCAACTACAATCCTCGTGAGAGGAAAGAATAACCCACTACCAATCTACATCATCAGAAGTGGTGTCAGCAGATGTCAGAATGATGAATGCAACTACAGGTCAACTTAGACTCCATAAGAATCTGATTTATTTCCTTTTACAACTAAATCCTCAGTTGTAACAAACACTCAGAACTATATTACTTTAAAATGTACTCTATGGATGTATTATTTCTCATCTGCTTAGTATTTCCTTCATAGCTTGAGACCAAAAACCATTCCAATGAGATCCTCGGTAGTACATCAAGTGTGGTGACAGACCTCTTAAACAAAACCAGAAGAAAGCTGGCTCAGGGTGTAAGGCTAGTTACTGTAATGAATTTTTAAACCAGAATTTGTATTACAATTTCTCACAGGAGGATCTAAAAAACTCTAGTAGTCTGTTTTGTCTCTTTCTTTATGAAACTTATGGCGTAAACAGAAGAAATTTTACTGTAAACATCCAGCAAATCCATCCAATCAATGTCTGTTACTTATTGCTTATTAAGCAAGCTACTAACTTTAAATAAAGTATCAGAAACATTAGCTCCTTCCGCCCTCTTCCTCAGTTTCCTTGTAATCCTTTTGAATAGCAGGAGGTTTTTTTTGAGAAAGCACAAAACTGTACACATGCTCTCATACAAATGTCACAACTGTGGAAAGAAGAAGAGAAAAGGAACGCCCTTTTACCACTGGTAAGGCTTTCTTACCAGCCCAAATAAACAGTAATGTGTAATTTCAGGTCAAATCAGATGAGCAAATTGCTCATAAAAAACCTGCAGCACTTATTCAAGCCACTCAATCCAAATATAGACCTTAAATACACTGCTTATAAATTATAAACTCTTGAGATTTTTGGTTAAGTGCATTTTCCCAGATATGTTTGTGTCTACAAGTACACTTCTCTTTATTTAAATTATATGTGGTATGGGCAACGTATCTGTTCAGTTCCTACAATAATGGACTGATTTTCTGGTTAAAAAAACAGGTCATAAATTTAATTAGATTTGGTAAAGTTTTCAATGAGTGCTACTTATATAAGGTGCCAGTACAATTTACATACACTTCTCAAAAAGAAATACATGGCAGTAATATACAATACATGTGAAGAGATCCGTTCACCAATGCAATTCTGTAACTGATTAACACCTGTGTTAGAACTGATAAGAGGTGAGACTTTCAAAAAGGCAAAAGAGATTTTCAGAAAACACTGATTTTCATTTCACATTGTCTAGTTCAACAAGAAAACAACTGGGAAGAAGTAAATGACATTTGCTGATGACTCGAAAAGATCAATAATAACAGTATTAGGAAGAGCTGAAGGGCAGGTTGTAGATTTTGGAGTAGAAAATGTAATGAAAAAAAAGATTAGCGGGGAAAAAAACAACTATACTTCCCTCAGTGAACACATTTATATTGTGAAAAAGGAAAAAAAAACCCCAAGAAAGTAGGATTGACTGCATTAACACTCAGCTGCAACAGAAATAATACATTTGCTTGTTAGATTAAGGATTACATTATCTTGCCTGAAAAGTTTCACCTTCTCACTTTTAGGCCACTTAAGGCATAAAGGGAAAGACGTATTTCTTTGTAACAGGTTTCTATTATAAGCAGGCATACGTATCTATTCCTGTGGTATCCCACTAGGTTCAAGACAATTTTATATAAACACTGAATTTATCACATACTGTCTTTTGCAAAACTACTCTGAATCAAGACCATGTACTCTATTATATTTCACTTGGTACTGAATTTAACAGGGCAATATGTCAAGGAAGTATTTAAAACAAATAACATATCTTGTAATTAAAATGTTTAGTTAAGAGCATAGGAGAATGGATTTTGCTCTCTAATTCATCCTTCCGATTTCTACAGTAATGTCCTCTTACACAGTAAAACTATGCCAGCTAAGCTTAGATAATTTCCACAAAAGGCAATACCCTACAATTACAGCTATATATTGAAATTTTATTTTTAAGTTGAACAGCTCTTATTCTAGCTTGTTATTTTACAGTTGACCTCTGCTGCTCCTCTTTAGGGGTTTCACAATAATATACAAAAAATTTATAATGGAAAATGGTTTAATTTTAAGACAATTTTCTTAGCAATCACTTTTAAATACACTGGAGATTTTTATTTTCAAAGAATGCGATGTTTGATTGTCATTTCACATGAATTAATCTCATTAGTATATATGTATATATATGTATTATCAGCATACAAAAGGCTAAACTAAAAAGTAAAAAAAGGCCTGCTGAAAGGAAACTGGATACACTGAAAGCATGGGAACAGAAGAAATAAAGAGCAAGATCAGGTAGAATTTTCTAAGACCACAGATTTAAATTTCAATTTCGTTATGAACAGCTGCACATTTTCATAACATTCAAAACATAAACATCACCTCATGTCAATCAAATTTGATCTGCAGCCCTCACCTGCAGCCCTTTTGAAGCACA